GGCTAAAAAGTCTCTTCAGAGGCGTTAATCCCAAGAAAAGAGGACTCAGAAGAAAGTGTGTTTTTATAACCTATATATCATATGGGATTTGCCCATTAACACTGCCTAAGAATCTCTAAATTAAATTATACTGCATCTTTGGTATTACCTTAGACAGTTGCAGCAGAATTACAAGAGCTGTCTGCTCTTCTTCAAAATTAATTTGCTTTCCCTGAGTTGTTTGTCTTTGAGAAGCATGTAGCACATGATAACCACCATCTTTAAGCAATATGGTGTTTTCTTCCAAAGCTTATGCACTTATTTTAAGGAAATACTTTTATTCGCGGATGAATTTGTGAATAACATACTGTTTTTGTGTTCCTGTGTGTTTGTAGATCATATGCTTCATTTTTGCAATGAAAGATGGCAGAAACTCCTTTAGCTGGGCTGGGCAGTGATATTTAGGATTTATCTATATGACGTTATCACTGCAACACAGATTCTGGTTGTGGTTGATCTTTAAAAGAATCAAAAGTGCTACACAGGGTCAGGAAATATCTCAATCATACTCAGGTATATTGCTTAGAAAATGAAAATTTTTAAGATCCCATAATCTTTTTGTCTAATATGCTATTTAAATAACACTGTAGTCATCAACTTTGGAAAAGAATGGGCCCCCAAATAGTTCTAAGTTCCTTTAGTCACTTATTTCTCATGCGATTCCTCTAAACCAAGGGTTGACATTATTCGGTCCATGGGCCAAGTCTGGCCTGCCTCTTCTTTTTGTAAATAAAGGTTTGCTGGAATATAGACACACTTACTACTGTTTGTTTTGTCTATAGCTGCTTAGGCATATAGCCTACCAGCTTACAATTTTTCCACCTGGCCCTTTGCAGAAAAGGTTTGCTGACCTCCTTTAAATCCTTTTTGAACCTGCTTATATGCTCAGCTAGCCACAGGCTATTTCGTCACACCAGGAGGCCCCTATGGTTGTCCTGGAACTCTGCCTTACTAAGGTGTCCCAGGTTCTGCTGCATTGGGTGCTTCGCTGTGCTTCTGCATCTTCGTATCCTACATCTCTACTTTCCATAGAACTGCAGTTATCTGTTTCCCTGCCCGCCTCCTAGACCGAGAGAACTGGGAGCAACTTCCTGATGTCTTTTGCTCATCCCAGAGCCTGGCGTAGTGTCCAACCACTTAAGTGGTGCTCACCGTTCACTGAATGAGCAGATGAATTACACTTTCTAGTCCAAATAGAAAGCAGCATTTTTATAGGTATGGAGTATGAATAATCTAGAAACCACTTCTTTATAGTTTTTTTATAATATTAAAAGGTTTTCTTAAAATAATTTTCCTCTCATCATTTTATAAGGAAATCATTATATTTCCTTGTGCTCTTGTGAAAATTAATTTACATTAGAAATGAGTTTACATTTTTCCAACTCACACCCAGCATTAGATCTAATTATGTTAACTATTAATAATAAATCTCCTTGAATTAAAAAAAAAAAAAAACTTGCTGACTATCCCAATTTTGTGTAGACCGTTGAGAATGAATGGATGTTGTTTCCATCTTGTCTGGGTGTCAGTACTCAGAGGTAGCTGATCAGAGGGTCTTGTTCGTAATGTATTCGCTCATTGCAGCAGTACTTAGCAAGTCTGGTGTTCTAGGCAGAAACGAAACAGCAATAAAAAAGACAGCCTTTGCTTTTGTGAAACTTACCTTCTCATTCAGGAAGGTAGTAGCCAGCCAAGAAAACTACCAACTGGCGGCAAGGGCTATGGCAAGTTGAAAAGACGGTGAGGGAAGGGGGAGAAACTGGGTAGCAGTTTAAACTGGCAGGTCTCAAATGCTCCTTTGAGGGAGTAGTATTGGAATTAGGATCAGAATGATAAGAAAGAAGCAGCCATGCAAAGAACATGGGGAATTGAATTCTAGGGAGAACGGACAGCTGGGATGAAAGCCTCAAAATCTGGGAACGAGTTCGTTGTGTTAGATGAACAGAAAGAAGGTGCATGTGGTAGATGTACAGTATGTGGGGGGGGGAGTGGGACAAGAGGGGCTTCAGGAAGTAGGTAGGTAGCAGTTGGTATGCAGCCTGTATGAAAGGAGGGCATCTTTTGTGTTCTGGTTCCTTAAAAGAATTTTTTAATGTTTTTTATTTATTTCAGAGAGAGAGAGAGAGACAGTGTGAGCAGGGGAGGGTCAGAGAGAGAGATACAGAATCTGAAACAGGCTCCAGGCTCTGAGCTGGCTGTCAGCACAGAGCCTGACGTGGGGCTTGAACCCATGAACCACAAAATCACAACCTGAGCCGAAGCCAGACTAATCGACTGAGACACCCAGGTGTCTTGATTTCAAAGGAACTGAGGGATGGTGGTTGGTCCTGACTTCCTGATGCCTTTTAGGACCTCTAAGACCCAGGAAGACTAGTGAGTCTGCTGTGGGTCAGGTCGGTGACTCACACTATGCTCAGCAGCTGCAAAGCCACACCCTGGGTCACTCTAGAGCCATCTATCTCCCCGTCAGATCCTGTTAGAGCCTACCTGTGTGTCCACTGACAGGTTGAAATGCCTGTTCATCCACCCTCTGGGTCCCAACAGAACAAAGACCATGATCATCTACATGAACACCTGCCCAAGTAAGCACCCTTAAAAGTTAACCCTATTTCATCTTACCATTCACATGGAAAGATCGTTTGTTATATGCAGATGTTTTCTTAATAGAGGGTTAGATGGCAAGGAATATATAGTTAGGCCAATGTGGCCTAAATGGGCTGTAGAAAAAATATTCACCTAAATGAGAACATGTTAAGTCTGTCTAACTGTTTTGTGATGTGTTGTTATTAGTATTATTAACATTCAATTAAAGTGATAAATGTATGTGATAGATGACCCTGTGGTTGAGTATACACAGATTAAGCCATTTTGATTCTGTTTAATAAATGTTTTGATTCATTAAACATTGGGTCAAGCCGATCCTTAGTACCAGACAAGGAAAATGAACAGATAATAAAATATTTCTGTGGCATTGGAAAAAAAGCAAAAGAAGACCTTTCAGATGTCATCGATACTACTAAAGTTATGTTAGATACAAAGAATTTCAGATTCATTCCACCAAGTTTTACAGTAAGCAGTTGTTTAAAGAAAACGTTCTTCATTTCCCACCTGGTTGCTGTGTTTAGACATAGTTCACCATAGCAGTTATGGGCATTGTTGGAAGCTTGCAAAGTTGTCATCTTGCAGTGGTTTGGTGAAGTCAGGTCCTAAGAGAGGGTGGAGGGAGGAGGAAGATGGGGTAAGGTCTCTCTTAACAAAGAAAAGGCACCTCAGTGGGAGTGGAGGCTGGCAATCTGCTAAAAGGAAATGAAAGGAAATTCTTCATTTCTAAACGCTTCATTGACCCATGGTAATAAAGCAGCCTTGCCAAAGAAGGATAATTATGTTTTTAAGTATCTGATGCCCTGTGGGTGAAGGCTTCCCTTCTCCTTTCTTGAAAAATGAACTCAGATTAAAGCAATGCTCCTTTCCTAGTTTACCATTGGCATGAATTTCCTGATTATGAGGAAAATTAATCAGTTATCCCTTTCTTTTCTTCCCCCTTCTCTTCTGGAAATCAGGCCCACCCAACTGAGTTCAGTGCATTTCCCTTTGGGCTCTGAATCCTACCAGTATGATAGGCTAAAATGCTTGCAATTCTGGCGTGACTAGCAATTGTAGAATTGGGGTTTTATTATGCCCCTTAGCTGCCTAACTTCAGGCAAAGCACACTCTTTTAAAATAACAAGAAAAAGGAAAAAAGAAAGAAACCAAAAAGAGCATCAGCGCACTTTTTTTCTTTTGCTGGTACCTGAAAACTAAATAAAATTTAATGTATCTCCGTGTGTGTATGCATGTATGCATGCATGATTGTATGCATGTAGCCTCACGTCTATGAAGAATTCAAATACAAAGACAACTGAAATGTTACTGATGATGTAACATTGAATGTTAATTTGTCACCAACATGTGATCAAACTTAGAATTTCTTTCTCTACCTCTTGTTTGTTAAGGTCAATAGCATAAATACGTTGACTTGTCTGACTTCTAGAATGCATTGGGATGGTTTTGTTTGTAGAAGTAAAAATATCCCTTTTCTTAAATTAATGATTTACTTTCAACTGGCTTCTTGAATTCTTTTTTTTAATGTTTTATTTATTTCTGAGAGAGAGAGAGAGAGAGAGAGAGAGACAGCATGAACAGGGGAGGGTAGAGAAAGCAGGAGACACAGAATCTGAAGCAGGCTCCAGGCTCTGAGCTAGCTGTCAGCACAGAGCCCAACGCGGGGCTCAAACCCATGAACCATGAGATCATGACCTGAGCCGAGGTCGGACACTTAACCAACTGAGCCACCCAGGCGCCCCCTTGAATTCTTAATAATCAATTGGAGGAACACTTTTCATAAAATGTTGAACCACATGGCACATCTCTTATTATAAATGAGGTTCATTGTTAGTTTCCAGAATGTCTGCTCTCCTTTTAAACATAAATAAAACAACTACTATTGTGTGTTCATTATACATTTCTCTAAAGAGATATTGAAGCTAAAATTTTAATCATGATACTCTACATAAAGAAACTGACTGGATATTCTGCTTGTTTTTCCAACCCAGTGCCCTTTGCTGCTTGAGAAGACAAGGCTTTCAAATTGGGGTCAGGAGATAATGGTCCAGAATAGATTTTACCTCTCGGCATAATTATTTCAGTCAGCACTTGAGTCTTTCTGAACATTAATGCCCCTTTCTCTTAAAAGAATGTCTTGAGCACACCACGGCTTCTCCTTCGAAGTATAATTAGCCATGTTTGTAAGCTCCTTTTTGAACTTCTTGAGGTTTGGTGGTTGGTAAATATTTGTTCTTTTATTCCTTAGTCTTTGAGAGTTCAGGTGCCGGGCCGAGGGAATTCAGTACTGTGTGTATGAACGTGTTGGTAAAAACCCTGCCCAGAGCAAGCAGAGTGTGCCTTAACAGGACTCACCGCAGATGTCCTCGTATGTCCGCTTCGGCCAGTGGAGCGCTTCCGAGACCTGCGTCCGGATGAAGTGGCAGATTTGTTCCAGGCAACCCAGAGAGTTGGCATGGTGGTGGAGAAGCATTTCCAGGGGACTTCTCTCACGTTTTCCATCCAGGTGAGTATCTCAGTAGCTCAGAAATTGTTTCTCTTCCTTTTCAAATCCTATCATGAAGCTCTCTGTCTTTTATGCTGCCGTCGGACTGGTAAGGCCCCTGTGGTTGTTCATGTCTTAAACGATAGCAGGAGAAGGTATAATCCAGGACCACCCTGGCGTCCATTAGCCCCGAGGTGGATGGTAGAATATCGGCTGAGGCACGGTCTGCAGCACTGTTTACAAAACAAATGAGAGTAACACACAAGTGATTTAATGGGCCTTCAGACATTTCACATCTTCTACTGGAACAGACACTGGACAACTTGTGCTCATTCCAGGGTAATTATATTTTGAGCAGCGCATGGCCTTAGCCTTCCTCTACTTCAGTGTAGTAAAGAAATGCAAGTTGGGTGGGGCCTTGCCCTCAGAGGGCTCCTTTTTCTCTTTAACCCAGTCCCCAGTGATTCATTAAGGATTGGTATGAAGCCAGATTGATCAAGTATTCTGTGCAGCCTGCTTCCCAGGAAAGAAATGAGGCCCCCTTCCCCCCCCCCCCCCTCCTCCTCCTTCCCTGGAGGTCAGTAGGCACAGGTTGATCCACGTGGAAGAGGAGGAGGTCTATGGTAAGTCATTGGCTATGGGAATTGAGTAAATCAACAGAACGTATCCTATGCCCCTTCACGTTCCCCCATGGGAAGAGCTAGGGGTATCAGGACATAAAGTTCTTAGTGGCCTTGACATTGGATGACTCTACACCCATTTGGAAAGAATTGGCTGGTTCTGTAATGTGAGACCTTGCCTTCAATGCTTTAGTTATACAGACTGTTTACCATCCTTCTACTACCCTCCTCATCTCCCCACCATAGACCTTCAAAGAAACAGATAAAGAAGGCCACTATTTTCAAGTTCTGAAAGGCTCTGACTAAAAATGCTCTTAAATGCTTCTTTACAAAGTTTTTGCTGCCATGTCTATGTTGAGAGTAAACTCCCTCTAAAATCCATTGTGTGTGTGTGTGTATGTGTGTGTGTGTGTGTGTTACATATCAAACCCTTTGAGTCACCTTTGTGCAGATCATTAAGCTCAGGGTGGGCTTATCAAGCTTATCCTACAAGTTATGTTTCCAGAGAGTGGCTGGAGGCATCTGTCAGCGTTAAATGAAATACTAGAAGAATATTCATCTTCACTAGAAATGGCCAGTGCCAGTAGTTATCTGATATGATTTACTCAAAAGCAAATTCCACAAACATAGGGACTGACTTGTGCATAGCACTTGGAGTACTTTCGTATATGTAGTGTTTGCAAACCTTGTAAAACTTTAAACCACAGTAAGGTGTTTCGTTATTCTGCAATCATGTGAACCTACAAACCGAAGTTATACAAAACATTTACCCGTTCTGAGCACTCGAATCGCTTTTTGTTGTATTGTCTGATTTGTTTTTAGTGCTGATCACAACCCATTGAAGCTGACTTCATGACCCGCTAATGGGTTGTGACTTCACGATTGAAAGCCACTGATACACAGTTCTGGCCACAGCAGGGCAGACATTCTTACCCATTAGTCTGGGCCACAGCGATAGAAAGACTTGCTAAAAGTTGCAAGGTTCTAATTCAGTTCTGCAATTTTGCAGTTCTGCGGTTTTGCCTATTCTGGTATCTCACACCAAGTAAGCACTTGCTTTTGCTTTGTCTTGTGACTGATAACTGGGCGAATTGGCTCATTTTCAGCTAAACAAATTAAAATGTTGGGTTTTAAAAATCTGAGAGAAGGAACCAGGAATGGGAAAAGGGCTCAACTGCAATGAATGGTCCTACTTTTTTCCCCCAAGGTCAGGACAGCCAGAGAGAGCCCACTCTCGGGTGGTCTTCCCATATAAGACAGCCCATCTTGCTAATTAATGGATTATGTTTACAGCGAAATTTTTTTTAGTAGAGACTTCTAGAAACAGACATTAATTAAACTACATCTGATTTAAAGATAACCAAAAGGTGCGATAATTTACCTCCTCAAACATTTCCAAACTTCCTTTAATGCAATTAAAACCATAGCCAAGAGCAAAGAGCATGAAAAGTAGCAAGAGGGTTGGCTCCCTGGATAATTTATATCATTTTTATACATAACTTCTCACTTACTCTCAGGCAGAAATGGAGAACTGTCTGGTTCCACACATTTGAAGTGAATGGTTCCCATGAGAATACTATAAATTAACACACATTGAAATTGGATCTAAATTATTAACTGGAGGTATTTCTGAATAAGCAGGAGATACCATCTATCTGTTATCACCCCTGTTATTTATCTATTTTTTTCTCCTACTTCTAGGATGGCCCTGAAGCCGGGCAGACTGTGAAGGTGAGTACTTATTACGTGCATACAAATTAAAAAGGGGCAATTATGAGAACTAATAAAAATCACACCGAGCCATTTGCAGCACATCGCTGGTTCATTATGGTATCTTCGAGGTCAGAGAGACCCTCAGTGTTAGAGCCATAAATCCTGACATTACAAACTGTGCCAAGCAATATGTTTCCCATTAGTTTACAAGACATTTACCTTTTGTAGTAAAATTATTATTGTGTAAAGGCGAAAACAGAAGCTAAATCAAGAAGTCCTAAAACGGAAGCTGAAGTCAAAAGGATTCAAGTTCAGGCACTATCTAGGAAACAGGGTGTGAGCCCTATGTGGATTGGAGGGTCCCATTTGAAGCTGGGGCGTCTTTGACAGGCCTTCTGGGTCTTACACAGCCTATTTCTACCTCCTCATTCTTGAGCGACAGGCTAAGCGAGTTGTTCTCCACATGCTGAGCTTTCTCTCTCTCCTCCTCCTCTCCACCCACATACCTATACTTGCCCTCCCTTTGTACTTAATACCAAAGTTCTAACCTAATGGAGTCAGTGGAGCTCGAAGATGGGTTTTTAAGTGTGCTAAAGGAGGAAAGGAGGATTTATTAGGATACTCTCTACTTTCCTAGTCAAGTAAAATAAAAGAATAAAACTCTGGCTGATTCTGAGGCTAGGTTTCAGCCCCGTTCATACAAATGCAAATTCCTCTGCAGTTAGGTCCTACGACTAAATCAAAAAAATGGCTATTTTTTTTTTCAGTGCTAGACATCAGAATGAAGTCAAACTGGGGTGCTGATGTTATACTTTGTAAAATAAGGTTTTATGGCTGTAAGATTGGCTATGAATGGAATGCTTGGCACTAAACAGTGCCAAAAAAACCACAGTCTCTTTTTGGTGTTGGTTTGCATATGGCTTTACTGTTTAACAAAGCGACTGTAGGACTTTTAAAAGTACTCTGGGAAGATGGCTGAGAAGTAAGGAGCTCCGTACTTGCACTCGCGCCCATACATCACACAGAAAAGATCTGAAGCCATTGAAAACCTTACAAAACCTGAGAGATTGGGAGACAAAGGACGCAGAATCCACTGAGAAAGCCTTCTAACGTGAGTGTGAACCGGGGAAGATAAAATCGGGCCGGGATCGGAGACTCCAGGGTGGGAGGCGATCCCCCTCTACCCTCTA